TTTTGTCTTTTTGAGACAGGGTCTCCCTGTAGCCCCAGCTGGCCTGGAACATGCATGTAGACCAAGTTGCCCCTGAACTCACAGAGATCCACCTGCCTCTGCCTCCTGAATGCTGGGACTAAAGGCATGCACCACCATGCCTGATCTAAAATGCTTTTTCTTGAATGCCATACTGCTAATCCAATTTGGAGAATCCCATTCTAGACAGCAGCAAAGCAGATCCCATGTCCAAAAATAGAATTGCTGCACATCACCAGCACCAAATGTGATGGTTAGCACAAAATAGGACCTCAAGAAATGTACCTTGAATAAATGAAAATCCTTAGGAGGAAAGCTTTGGCTCGCTTCCACAACAGGGCATTACTTTATTTTTGTATAGCACTCAGCAATTTTCCAAACACCTTCTCATCTATGAAATGATTCTCATAACATTCCTAACAGAATTCATCTTGTGGAACTACATATTAACACGGTTGAGAGTTTCTTTTCTGCACCTGATCCCCAACTTGATCCAGTTGTCCATGTTATTCAAATCACCACTGATTTTTATTTCAGATTTACTAGGATGAATTAAATGACTGCATTTTCTTTAACTTCTCAGATGCCTGTCAGTGCCCACGTTGGCATCAGTGGGCTCTAAGACTCGGCTGTGCTGGGCTGATCCTTCTTGTCTTGAGTGTGATTGGATTGAGTGTCTCAGGTGAGTGAGGCAAGATCTTTCACTTTGGCATTTTTACTCTATTTCCATCATAAATATTACAGCTTCTTCACATGATTTGGCTGGCTGGAGCCTAGAGGAAGATCAACGGAATGAAAGTTACAGGACAATACCCCATGTCCACTGTGGAAATCACATTTGTTTCCCATTTATCATTTTAATTTATCTGAGCATCATTAGGGGGTGTGACTCAAGCACATCCAGAACTATAAAAAAGTCACCATTATGACAAAAAGATAATAACAAAGAAAACTAAGATGCCAAATATTTAGTTTAAGTGCCTACTAAACTCCAGATGGCAGTCAACGGTTTTTCTCTTGGAGTGGGTATGATTACACTCCTTCTGAAGATGAGAAAGCTCATGGGTGAGTGTGAATAGTTTGAGTTCAGTAACACCTCTAGATAATATATGACCTGATAGCTATGTGAATCCGCATGTTCTGTTTCTCTTTTTGTTTATTCATTCTGTCTCCAAACTGGACCCTTTATTAACACATTGCTAATACTTTTATCAAACTTATTAAGATAAACTGATTTCCTGAAGTGAAAAATATAACATCTAACCGGGCGTGGTGGTGCACTCCTGTAGTCCCAGCACTTGGGAGGCAGAGGCAGGTGGATCTCTGTGGGTTCAAGGCCAGCCTGGTCTACATAGTGAGTTCCAGGACAGCTGGGGCTACAGGGAGACCCTGCTTCAAAAAGACAAAAAAATAAAATAAAAAAGAAAACATAACATCTGTTCCTCACATATTTCAGTTTTTCATTATTTTCATGTGTTTTCTTATTTACTAGTGCAAATCTTTATACAAAAAACATCAGTACAAAAAATCAATAAGGATATTCAAGAGAACAGGACCGATACAACAGGTAATTTTGATAGCCTGATATTTGATAGATATTGGATGTTACCTTAGTTAAGGCTCACAATAGTCTGTCCTTGAAGACACTATTATCTCCGTGGTTTTATATTTGACGAAACTGCAGCATAAAAAGATTAAGTAACTTGTTGAGAGTCACATGATTGGTAAGTGATGATGCTGGGAACTGCACTTAAGTGCGAAACTTTGGAGCCTATGATCTTTGTTTGTCTTTGGGACAGGGTCTCATTATGCAGCCCTGGCTTGCTATGTAGAGCAGGCTGCCCAGAAACTCACAGCGATCCACCTGCCTCTGCCTTCACAGTACTGGGATAAAAAGCATATGCTACCACATTTGGCCTTAATCCTGTGATCTTAATCACCAAGCCATACTGTCTCAGACTGCTAGCTAGCACAGTTGATCAGTAGCAGACAAATAATGAACTTAAAAAGTAAAATATGAGCCAGATGTGATGGTGCACACCTTTAATCCCAGCACTTGGGAAGCAGAGGCAGGAGGATCTCTGTGAGTTCAAGGCCAGCCTGGTCTACATAGTGAGTAGCTGAGGCTGTAGGGAGACCCTGTCTCAAAGAGACCAGAAAAAAAAAGTAAACTATGGGGCTGGAGAACTGACTCAGTGGGTAAGAGCATTGGTTATTCTTGCAAAGAACCTGCGTTTGGTACCTGTGTGGTGGCTAACTCCAAATTCAGGGAATTCAACACTTTTCTGGCCTCCACAGGCATTGTATGTATGCATGGGTGCACTTACAAACATGTAGACAACACACTCATACACATAGAACAAAAACTTTGAAAAAAAAATTTTTTAAGTAGAATATGGAGGTCTGGAGAGATGATTCAGCATTTAAGAGTACTGGCTGTTCTTGCTGAGTACCTGGGTTCAGTTCCCAACACTCACATGGCAGCTCACAACCATCTGTAACTCCAGTTCCAGGGGATCTGGTACACTTACATACATGCAGGTCAAATACGCATACACAGAAACTAAAAATAAGTAAATAAACATTTAAAATATTAAAAAAGAATTGTGCACACATTATTAAAAAGTAAAAATATGTGGGTGAGGGGACTGGGGAGATGGTTCAGCAGTTAAGAGCACCCCTGGCTGTTATTGGATAGGACCTGGTTCCCACTCCCAACACCTACATGGCAACTAACAACTATTCAGTTCTGATGCCATCTTCTGAACTCCTTGAACATTGCATGATATGGGTGCACTTACATACATGCAGGAAATACACATAAAATAATATTTTGTTAAAAAAATATGGGGGCTAAGGAGCCAGACCAATAATTAAATCATTTGTTACATAAGCATAAAGACTCGAGTTCTAATCCCAGCACCAATATACTAAGCACCCCAGCAATGAGGGGAATGGAGACTGGCTGTCAGCCTTTCAGAAGAAAAATACATGCTCCAGGTTGAGGAAGAAACCCTGCTTTAAAGGTGTTAGGCACCTGTTCTCCATGTGTGCACATGTGCACTTGCATACACATGTGCGTATTTACCACACACACATTCACAAAAAAATAAAATAAAATATGCTTAAGAGGAATATTTATTTTAATTAAAATATCAAATAGTTTACTTTTTCTGAAGTTAATTTATAGAAATAAAACAAATTTATTTTTTGTTATATTTCTCTGACATATGACATTAATCTTGTTCCATCATATTTTAATAAAAGTATGTGCTGGTAAAGCAACTATTATGTGTAATTGCTTGTGGTATAGCAGGAACAGAGCATAAATATAACATCTCTTCTTTCTTAATTTAGAGAGACCAACTCCATTCCAGTGCCCAAGAGACTGGCACTCACATCAAGATAAATGCTTATCATTTTCTCAAGCTTCCGGACCTTGGAATGAAGGTCTAACTGACTGCTCTGCTAAGGAAGCCACGTTGCTGCTTGTTCAAGATCAAGAAGAACTGGTGAATTGTCAAATAAAGTTGCTTAGTAGAATTCAGCACTTTCTTGAAGCTACTTCAAAATCTCTGGACTTTAGCTGATTATCTGTGCAGAGGAAGTGGAGACCTTGACTTCTAGAAGCTCATAATCTGAGAGACCAATCAGACATAAGAGCCAATAATTGAATATAAGAGATGAATGTGCTAGAATCATAAATGTGTGGGGAGAGATTCACAAAGAAGGAAGAAGGAATTCTGGTGGGGATTCAGGAAAGGTTTCAAACAGGGTGACACTTGAACTAGGTTTCAGGAGGTTGGATAAAAGATAAAAGTCCTGAATCAACAGATTCAGTGTTAATCCCTTATTCTGTTTTAATTATAGAAGCTCATACAGGACTTGGGAAGGAGAAGAGGACACTTATTTTGGATTGGACTAAGTTACAAGTTACCAGATAAGAAGTGGAGGTGGATAAATGGCTCTATTTTACATTCTGATATGTGAGTATTAGATGAGTTAATTTTAATATTCAATCCAGGTTGGTTACACTGCAAGGTTCTAACATATATCAAAGACTGAAGAGGTTTACAATGGGCTGAAAATATGACTCCAAAGTTGGTTGAAAGTTTCCATGCATGAAAAGATAGTCTTTCATAAGGTTATGTGTGTATATGTATGTATTATGTATATCTACAATGAGGTTTTAAAGGCCAAGGACTAGATTAACTACTTTGCAAATAGCATGCATGTTTTTTAATGTCTATCTTGAACCTAATTGAACACATAGCTTTTTATTTTTTCTTTTCACACTGTCCATAGAATTTCTTTTTATATTTAAATTTTTTGGTGTATTTATTTTTATATGTATGAGTGTTATGCCTGCATGTATGTAAGTGCACCCATGTCATGCAATACCCTCAGAGGACAGAAAAGAGTGTCTGATCCTCAAAAGACAGTTGCTAGCCAACATGTGGGTGCTGGGATTTGAACCAAGGTCTTCTGCAAGAACAGCTGAGTCATATCTCCAGCCCCTTATTTGAGTGTTATGCCTGCAGTATGGAAGTGCACCTGTGTCATGCAATACCCAGGGAAGCCAGAAGAGGGCATTAGACTCCCTGGAATTGAGTTACAGATGGTTATTAGCCACCACGTGGGTGCTGGGAACCAAACCCAGGTCCTCTGCAACAGTAGCCAGTGCCCTTAACTGATGAACCTAACGTCCAGTCCTAACAGAATTTAAGCAGTACTTTTCAAATTGTGGTAAAAATGTGTCATAGTGAGTCAGGAAGCCAGTTTCTCAGGTCTCAAACAGGACAGAAAGAACAAGTATGAAAGGGAAAAACAGTAAATATCAGTGTGGAACTTTGACACCTGAGAGCAACTGCCCACATCATGACAGGTTGTGGTATATATTAACTAGAGTTATGAAAGACAACTATTTGAGGAGGTGTGATGAAAATATGTATTAATCACCTTTTTTGTCACTGTGACAAAATATATGAGATAAAAAAGAGTGGGAAGATTATTTTGGCTCTCAGTTCAAGAGGTCTCAGTCCATAGTCAGCTTGATCCATCATGGCAGAAAGGTGGGGTTGAGCAAAGCTGTTCACTTCATAGTGGACAGGAAGCAGAGAAGGAGGCAGAAGGCCACGGGGGAGGGTATGCCCTTCAAAGGCCTAGCCCCAATGGCCTGCATCCAGTTAGGCTCGCGTAGTTGAGCTAGAAGCTCATCAATAGGTTAATCCAACAATGGGGTTAATGCACTCATGATCCAGTCACCTCTCAGTAGCATCATCAGCTGGAGACTGAGCTTTCAACACATGACCATTTGGGGCATACCTAGTATCCAAAACACAACCATGTGTGGAGATCACAACAGAGCCATTTATTATTCACTCTTTGGTGTCTCATTGTTTTCTTTAAAATTATTTTATTTATTTATTTATTTATTTATTTATTTATTTGTGTTTTATATGTATAAGTGTTTTGCCTGCATGCATCTAAATGCACCATGTGTGCACAAAGCCATAGAGGCCAGGAGAAGGTATCAGACCCCCTAGAACTGGCATTAAAGATGGTTGTTAGCTACCATATGGGTGTTGGAAACTGAACTCAGGTCCTCTGCAAGAGCAGAGCATCCCTTCAGGATGGAATATTTCAGTTCAGAGGAAATTGTACACAACAGTGTGTTGCTTACATGAGCATGAGTTGAAGGTCATTTACTGGAGCTTGGCAACTAGCCAATGGCTACAACTACTGAAAAAAAGGACATTCCCTGGCCCAGTAACTGCCCATAGATTCTCAGGGAGGGGTGAGGCCTCATGCATGATGAAATGTTGGCTACCTGATCTCAATCTTGAGTACCTCTATGTCATGTCCAAGAGACACTTTCATAGCACTTCACCCTCTCCTCTGGCTCTTACATTCTTTTTGCCCCTTTTTCAACAATATTTCCTGACCCTGGAAGAGGGGTGGGAGTGTTGTTATAGCTGTCCTGTTTAGGGATGAGCACTCAGTAGTCACTTATTCTCAGTGTTTTGAACAATTGTTAAGTATTCCCATTAATCACCTCTCACTTCGAAAAGAAGCTTCTCTGATGAAGGCTGAGAATTGCAGAAATCTATGGGGATAAGCATTTACAAGGCAGTTTGATAACCTGTCTACTTAGCAAAGCAACAATAATATGTTTCCTCTTTGAATCTATGATCTTCCCAGCAATTGGGTTTGATCAGGTTTCTAGTACCAACAGTGAATCCCCTTTTATTGGAACAGACCTCAAATCAATCAGAAAGCAGTTGGTTACCCCTGTAATATTCTTGCCACTATAGTACCATTAGGCACATCCTGCCAGGAAAATAATTACTGTAGCTTGTGGGGTTAAAACAGCTGGGTTGGACAGTTGATGACTTTTCTCCCCCACCAGCTTGCATAGCACTTTCTGGTGTGTGTGAGTTTCTTAATTGGGTTATAATGTAAGATATACTTTATTGTGATTCACAGTAAAAAATACAATTGTAAGGCATCTAAAATGAATGGACTAATCTCAGTTTATCTGTCATTTTTCTCTGAGGGTAAAACGATGCTCTGATTAGATGGCAGTGATCAGGTGACACTACCAGGCTGCAATAGAACGAACTTCATTTAAACCCTGCTTTCATTTTAACTCTCTGCACCTGGTTTTTAGGTAATGGAAAAAGGGAGTAATAATTTTTTTCACAGAATCATTTTGGGAATTAAATGAGATCATGTTAGAGACTTCTCCAGATGTCTGGTTAGAGATCTGGGAGGCCTTAAAGGTGTTTTGAAAGGAAGTCATTGACTTGAACAGATCAACCTTAAGAAAATTATCCTGACTATTGAAAGAAGAACCTGAAGGATGAAGGAAATAGAGACATAGGGATATCTACAGCAGCCGAGGTGAGGGCAGTCCATGATTTGAATAGCATGCTGGGTGCTAGTTGACATCAGATTTGCTGCTCAGGCCCAAGAGGCTCCACCAAGAAATGAACAAAGGGGAAAGGACAGCCAGAGGGAGCCCTGCACACTGCAATGAGACACATTCTATTTGAGACATATCAGTGAATTTCTAACTCATCTCTCTCTGTCTTATAATCAGCCCTAATACTATCTGTGTATTGTTTGAATATATAAACAGTCCTGTTCCCACTTGACGTGAGTCACAGAATCCATTTATGTTTGAACCCAGTGTTGTATTACATCAAATACAGACTTCTGTGGAAAAAAGAAATGAATACTATGTATTATGTAGGCTGAGCATCTGTCCTCTCTGCATTTAGTTCTATAGAACCAGAGTATTCACTCTATATTCTAGTTTCTTTCCGTTGCTGGGAGAAAAACACTGACCAAAACCATCTTGGGGCAGAAACCATTTATTTTATTTTATATTCCCTGGGTCACAGTACATCACTGAGGGGGCCAAGGTAAGAACTCAGGGAAGGAACCTGGAGGCATGAGCTGAAGTACAGACCATGGGGAAAAGCTGCTTACTGCCTTCCTCCTTTGGCCTGTGCTTAGAAAGCTTTCTGATACAATACAAGACCACCTGACCAGGAATGGCACCAACCACAGCGGCTGGGCCCTCCCACATCACTTAATAATCAAGAAAATGCCCCACAGACTTGGCCACAGGCCAGTCCAATGGAAGCAGTTCCTCAGTTGAGAGTTCCTCTACCCCGGTGTGTCAATTTGACAACTAAAGCCATCCAGCACACTCTACATATTGAATGCATTTACTGAGCATCTACTGTTTTAACCATTGTCACAGATGCATGTAAATCTCAATGCCTTCCCCAAACATTAGCTAGTTAAACCATATGTATTTAAGAAAACTGAAGTCATCAAAATAAACTTTTTTGCATGAGATGTTAGTAGTTGAATGAGATTTCATTTCCGGTTTCCAAACCTTCTCCCTTGTGTACATCATTATGAACAATCCTGCTGGAAGGATTCTTCTCCAGTGAGGCAAAACTGAAAATTGTAGAGAGTTGTTAAGATAAAATTTTATCTTTAATGTTTCTGCATGTTTGTAATGTTTGTTACTATGTCCTTACTGTGCTTAATAACTAGGTATTCTGGGGGTTGGAGAGATGGCTCAGTGGTTAAGAGCACTGGGTGCCCTTGCAGAGGACCCCAGTTCTATTCCCAGCATCCACATGGTAGCTAACAGCCACCCTTAACTCCAGTTCCAGGGAAATCTGATGCCCTCTTCTGATCTCCATGGGCATTGCATGACATGGGTGCACTTACACACATGCAGGCAAAACATGCAATATATGTAAAATAATAATAAATAAGAATTTTTTGTAAAAAAAAAAATGTATTCTATAGTCCTTAGTGCTCCAAAAGGGAAAGTGGTCATCTGAGGGTAATCGTGAAAAAACACTAAACACTAAGAGTGACTATTCTTTTCTCCTCAGATTACAAATCACAGGTGAAGCTAAAGAAAACAGCTGTGCTGTCATCTCACAGATAAAGTCAGTTTCTGAGACCTGTTCTTCAGACAATTATTGGATCTGTGAAAAGAAGTTAAAACCTGTCTGAAATCAAAAGTGTCCTGATTCCTGACTGCAGATCCCATCTCGACCACTGCGCTTTCCTCACAGATCTCTGCATTCTCACTGTCTTACTTGGTCCCCCCAGTGCACGTTGAGTGTCACAAAGCATGAACTCTAAACCACTGTGACTCTTACAGATGCTCATGCCCAGTTTCTGTATTCTATAAATGAGGACACAGATGCTGATGGACCGTTCTAAGAGAGGTGTTCTGTGGAAGGAAGCCCAGGCGTTGAGGGAACCGGATTCTAACCCTGGAGTCCATGTGTAGCCTTCACTGATCTCTGTGCCTGAGCGCATCTCCAGAAGAGCTGCAGCAAAAGTTTCCATTGTCCTGTGCATCATTCATCAAACTCTTTCCTGTGCTATCACATAGCTGGACTGTGAAACATTGATTAAAGCCTGTTCTCTTGACTCTGACATCAGAGGCCCATAGTTAAAGGAGTTTGGAAAAGGAGTTACTATGATTTGAATGGCACTTCCAAAATTCTGGGTAAAATGGGCTTTGTCCACGTGATGCCTCCTGCTGTGGCATGGTGCGTAAGCAGATTCTGGGCAGTTTCTGGTACCTTGGTGCTGGACTTCACAGACTAGAGAGCTGTGAGAATGGAATGTCTTTTCTCCACAACTTTTCTGTTGTAGCAACAACAACAACAAAAAAAGGACTAAGACAAGGCCGTCACTCTCTCCACCACTCCACAATCCTTTTCACTTTAGTTTTCTCATCACTTATTTTCTCCATACCTGTTGCTCTCTATGGCTCACATACAAATTGTAAAGAATATATAATTAACTCATTATTCTAGTACAAAATAAATTACATCTTTTCAACTCTTCAGGGAAATTAAAGAAAAATAAAAACAAATGTTGACTTTTCTAAAAATTTACCAAAATTCCCATGGAAATCAAAATAGTAAGAATATTGAATTTATAAGGAGACATAATAAAATTTCTGTAAAAATGGACATCTGTATTCACAATCCAAATAAAATCTCAATTCTGATTTTCCAGGAATAAATATGTTTCTTAAAACTTATTTTAGCCAAGCATGGTGGCCCACACCTTTAGTCCCAGCACTCAGGGGCAGAGGCAGGCAGATCTCTGTGAGATCAAGGCCAGCCTGGTTTACATAGTGAGTTCCAGGACAGCTGGAGCTACAGGGAGACCCTGTCTCAAAAAGACCAAAAAAATTATTTATTTTTATTTTATGTGTATGAGTATTTTGCCTACATGTGTATAAATATACCCATGCATGCAGTATCTGTGGGTGAAGAGGGCTTTAGATCTCCTGGAACAGGAGTTACAGACAGTTGTTAGCAGCCATCGTAGTGCTGGGAATGGAATCCAAGTCCTCTGCAAGAGCATCCAGTGCTCTTAACTGCTGAGCCATCTCTCCAGCCCCAGGAATAAATATTTTTAATACTTGTTAACTATAACTTTTCAATGTACTAAAAAAAAATCAAAGAATTATTTTGTGAAAAATCTTAGGGAACAAATTAGCTAGGAAAATCTTTCAGACAAAAGCAGCTCTATAAATCAATAAATAACAGCTGGGTGCGGTGATTCACACCTTTAATCCCAATACTCTGGAGACAGAGGCAGGTGGATCTCTCTGAGTTCAAGGCCAGCCTGGTCTACATATCCAGTTCCAGGCCAGCTGGGATACAGGGAGACCCTGTCTCAAAAAGACCGAAAAAAAAAATCGATAAATAACAAAAGTGGTATTTTGGGGAAAGGCCTGTAACTCTAGAGTAGCTAGGGAGATAAAGCAGGAGGTAGGAGTGTCATGTACAGCCACCTCTTTTGTAGTTAAGTGCATTTTGGTCAAGGACATGAGGAGTTAGATGAGGTAACCAAAGGGAACACTGTATCTTGGTAGCTGTGTCCCCTGATGGTTAAAATCCCCCTTTGTGGCTAGACATCCTTGAAGCTGCAGCTAGTTCCTGCAGAAATTAAGATAACAGGAAGCTGGAATGCTGGCTTGGATGTTAAGGGCTCTGGCTGCTCTTGCAGAGAACCCAGGTTCAGTTCCCAGCACCCACATTTATGCCAGTTCCCAAGGATCTCACGTCTTCTTCTGAACTCCCCAGACATCACAAGCATGTGTGCACTTACATAGATGTAGGCAAAATGCTCAAGTAGAAAAAATAAAAATATATAGATAACAATAAGCTAAAAAAAAAAAAAAAGAAAAGAAAAGAAAAAGAAAATAAATTAAGGCACTGGGGGACTTTCCCAATGAGCATGCATGCTACCAATGAATATGCTGAGGAACTGAGGAACAGGATAGAAAAAACTGCGGGGACATCTTGGACCTGGAGCAATTCCAGTAGAGAGATTAAAGAAAAAGAGGTGGTTCCCAAGGGGGACTTAATGACATCACAAGGGGGATACCCTAAAAAACTTCTTAAAAATCTACCACGCAGAGCCCTTCGGGTAAGCCTGCTCCAATCTCCCTCTGACGTGCATTATTTTTGATTTGCTGAATAAACTTGCTCAAATTACCTGTGTCGTAGCTTTATTCTCTCCTGTGAGGCGACAAGAACAGAGGAAAAACCCTCACTGGTAATGATGACACTATCAGAACAGAATCGGAAGGGAGTATTCCTGTGATTGACAATGTGCATGCCCACCTCCTGGGATGAAGTTACGAACAACCCTCCAAGATGTTCAAGATGAGCTGAGTTCTTCCTCATAGTTCAGGATTCAACCCACACATCCATCTTTTCCTTAACGTGAGGTCTCAGCACCCAGAAAGTACATTAGATTACCAGAGGTAAACAGAACCAAAAAACGAAGCAATAGTTCTCAGAACTAGAAGAAATGCCAAAACCCCTCAAAAGCAGTTTCTTCATTTTGAGCCAGAGCCATAGACGTCTTGGTAAATCACAAAATTAACCAGCAAGAGAGCCAGGACTTGAACCAGATCTCTCCCAAGCTACCAGTTGTGGTTTCTTTGGTGTTTAGTCTACTTTTCAGCCAGTTTCCATGTTAACTACTCCCTTTGTGGGCTCTTCAGTGATCCCTGATTTCTGAGATGTTTCTGCTCAGTTTTCTTCCTAGATCCAGCAATCGAAGACATTTTATGTTACAAAGTATTTTTCTGGATGCTCCTTTCATTACAGGAGTGTTCTCACGTGAATTCAAAAGTGAGTCTACCGCCCCTTTGTGACCACAATGCACAACTGCAACTTTGAAAGTTGTGCTCTGGGGAGAAATTTTATATTTATACTGATGATCAAGAATAGTTCAATGAACACCAGTATTTTCCCACTTAGGTCCAATAATTATTACAATTTTCCAAAAGTACTTGGCTTCTCTCCTGACTTTTTTTTTGGAATGGTTTGAAAGTAAGTTGCAAATAAAAATAAACCTAAATAAAAATTTAAAGACTCATCGCATTCTAAGATACATTTTTATACTGAATTTTCCAAGTTTTACTAAAATATCTGTTACATATTTTGGAACTATCCCCTCAATCCAGAGTCCAGTCACAGTTTATACTTTGCATTTGGTTGCTGCCCACTTTGGTTTCTTTTTAATAAAGAACAAACCATCGTTTTATTTATGCCTGGCATTTATTTATTTATTGAAGAGTTAGACCAATTCTACTACAGAATTTCTTGTATTATGGAGGTGTATGATGGCTTTCTTATAGTTTTGGTGTTAGTGTTAAGATGTGAATCCCAAATTCCTTCACATTTTCCACAGAGAGCAGTCCCTGTTCCAGTCCTTGAATGGGACTGAGTTTTTACTTCTGTAATGAGTAGGGGTGGTGGGAGTGATGCCAGGTGACACCCCACACAGTTTAACACACTCAGTGAGGCACCTGTGTAGTCGAAGTCAGGTTGCATGTAAGTATTCTGGCCAACAGTACTAGTTGAGGTTCCAGGTAACAGGCATTCTTTATTGGTAGGTATGTAAGCCAGGAAACCTTTCAGTGACTCCAGGTCAGCCTCTTTTGGATTGCGACTGGCTGGAAACAATGAGAAAACCATCCAGCTGAGTCATATCAGTATAAACAAGCTGAGACAGTGCTAAACAATCTCAAAACGTAAGATTAACTTTGGTGATGTTGGAAAGATGGCTCAGGGGTTAAGAACACTGGCTGCTCTTGCTGAGTATTCAGGTTCTATTCCCAGCACCCACACAGCAGCTAACAGCAGTCCCTAACTCCAGTTCCAGGGGATCCAATGGCCTCTTCTGACCGCCAAGGACATTGCTTAACAGGGGTACATTTATATATGTGCAGGGAATACACTCATACACACACAAAAAATAATCATTTAAAAGAACATTGGTTAGGTAAGATTTGAAACAGAAGGCAGTCCCAGAAAAGCCATCCAAATAGCTCATAAGCTTGCATCATAGTGTATCATATCCTTGTCATTTTAATGGAGCATAAACTTCCCCTCATAATTTGTTTCTGTAAATTTTGCATCTATTTAAAAACATTTTATTAGATAGTCTTAGTTTATTTCATGTACATTATAGTTCAAGAAAATTTATTCACTGAAGAAATACTGAGAAACTGATAAGTAGTTATGGATATTTATTTCTTTATCTATTTGGCTTAGGATACATCTGTATACAGAATAGGCAAAGGTCCTGAATGTTATAGAGCTTATATTTTCTATTGGTCAGAATGACAATAAAAACATGAAAATGTGTAAAAGTCCTATGGAAGAAACAAGGGAGAGAAAGTGTGAGGAACATGAGAGGAGTGGAATTGCAGTATTTAATAAGATGTCGAAGCTCACTGGAGCTAGAGAGATGGCTCAAAGAGCACTGTTGGTTCCAAGCACACACAGGGCAGTTAACAACCATCCATAACTCCAGTCCAATTCCAGGGAATCCAATGCTCTCTTCTGACCTCCATGAGCACACTTACATAATATACTCATACACATAGAAGGAAAATAATAAATAAAATGCTTTTTAAAAAAGACTTGGAAGCCAGGCATGGTGGTGCATGCCTTTAATCCCAGCACTTGGGAGGTTGAGTTCAAGGACAGCCTGGTCTCCATAGTGAATCCAGGACAGCTGGGGCTACAGGGAGACCATGTCTCAAAAAGACCAAAAAAAAAAAAAATGTGGAAAGTCAGGACCGTGGAATAAAGATTTGAGGGGCATGAGAGATGTAGCCAATAAAATACCAAGGAGATGAGAGAGCCAATAGGGTATCACAGAGAGAAAGAGGGGTCCTAGCATAAAGAAGTATGCAGGTATATTGGAGGAAGGAGAACATGGCTGAAACTGAGTCAGTGAAGACAGTAGTAGGAATTGTCAGCCAGACAAGGCAAGATCATGCGAGCCCTGCAGACAGTTGTAGTTTGGCTTTTACTCTGCAGAAAGTAAGAAGCCACTGCAAGGTTTAGAGCAAAGACTTGATCTGCCCTAAGAATCATCTTGGCTCTAAATTGACTAGACTAGGAGAGGCAAGTCAGAAGTAGAGAGACAGGAGACGCTGTAGTAACAAAGGAAGAAAGCTCAGAACGATGTGACAACAGTGGAGACAGCGAGAAGTGCTTGGGTTCTAAATGAATTTTGAAGGTGAAAGTAACAGGATTTGCTGAGAGATGGGTGAGGTGTGTGAGACCATTGAAGATTTTATTGATATGATGTGAGCACAGGAAAGGGTGATTTGTTATAAAGTGCAGATTGGGTAAAGTTTTAAGAACACACTAGGAGTTCCATTTTGGACAGAGATGAAGATGTCCACTCTATGGGAATAGATGACTCTTTGGCAAAGATAAAGGCAGTGGTTTTAATGGTGTGCTGTTTGAAGTTTGAAACTCTGGCAACCCCCAGAGACACTTTGTTGAGCA